TTATATTGGATGTAAAATGCTTGGTATGCTGTCTTTTTTACTCATTTAATCCCTTTCTGTTTGTTGTCTTATTAATTTTAATATTTTGAAATCATTTTCATTTTAATCCATGGGGTTGTACTATTTTTTTCTAATTTTTGAGGGTCAAATAGCATATAATTATCAAAAATAACTTGTATTTTGGAAATGAATTACATTTTTTATTAAAAACCTGAATTGTTTTTTTATTGAGATAATTCTAACATTTTGAGGGACAAGTATAATAATCCTGATGTGAGATGTCTTTCTCACCTTTTTCAGATGTACGTTTTGTGATGTTTACTTCTTACTGAGATCAAAAAATAATATACAATTTTAGAAAAATATACCAAACTCTGATTCCTTTGAAATGAAATGAAGTTTTAGTCCTACTTCTCATTGTGTAAAATACTTCAAACTCATAATAAACTATTTAAATACAAACAGTAGGTCTAGGTATTGTTGTTATTATACACAGTGGTAAATAATGATTTTATTTTTCAATTTAAAACTCAATTTTCAGTTTGAATTAAAAGTAAAATAAGTGTGAATATAAAAATTGATTAGTTAGAGTGTTTATATGTCAGTTGTATATATTAAAACTTGTTGATATTGTCTGTATTATTAAAATAGTGTAGGTGGATTGTTTGATTTCTATATAATATTGTGGGTTGGTGGGTTCGTTGGATTTCTGAATTGAATTCTTCATAGTCTGAAAGTAAGTGTTGGGTGTTAGAAGATACTCTCCTATAGAAGCACTGGCCAAGGTGACAAGAAGAGAACATACTTCTGATGCATCAATTATCAATTTGAGTAATAAAGATTAGATCGAAATGGTATTATAATAAATGTTCTGTGCTGTGTGTCAAGAGAAATGACAACAATGTAAATTCTGAAAAGACTGGAATAATACAATCATATATAATGTAAGTGAAATTTTATCTTAAAATAGATATTACAGATTTATGAATTTATATCTGTAACTGTAAGAATTGTTTCTACCTGTTGCTACAATGATCTGACGTGTTTCCTCTGTAAATCGTGTTCTGTAGAATTTTGACCCAGTTTTTTCAGATTTTCTATTTAAATCAGATTGTTCATGAAAGCACCATGTCTTGTGATTAACCAACACAGGGTTCAAACGGACATATTAAAAGGGAAATTCTGTTTTGATTTCAATGTGTAAACTGGGTTGATTATGTCTGGTCCAATCAGAATTTATTTCTTATAATCAAATATCGGCTAGTAGAGTAAAAATGGAGCCAGGAGAATTCAAAATACTAACGTAACCGGTTAAGACTTTTGCAGGTTTTTTGATTTAACGCTTGAATATTTCAAGTTAAAACTTTCACGAAAGGTTAAGGGTCATCTTCCTATATATGTCGCCATGCAGTGTGATATATTTCACACTCAAAACCACAAATACTGATTGAAAAAAGCAGAATGCCCAATATTGTTTCTTTTCACTGGAACTTGTTGATTTCTGAAATTTAACAGATAGCAAATTCTGCCGAAGGGATCAATATAAAATACTACTAGAAGTTTTAACTATTTATGAAGACTAATATTACTGGTACCATAATGTATTAGTGTGAGTGTTTTGTACTATATTGGGACTATGTAAACTATCAGTATTAAATCTAGGTATAGTCTACAGTCATACAGTAAAATAGTTAATGAACAACTTGGTTAATATAGTTATATGGATAGTAAAAAGGTTCCTTAACTATTTATGTGTATCAGGGACACTCATAACATCGGTTTACACCATTCCAATTTTCAGTCATATGTCTGTGGTTCCTGTAATTCCACTAAAACTAAGATTTTGTGAAATCACTATTAGCAACATTTGCAACAGTGACGTCTTAAAACGCTTCAGTAGAATTGCAGGACATACAGAAGCACAAGTCTAAGTTAGATGGTCTAACTGAAATTGGAATGATGCAAATTGCTGGTATCAGTCTCCCAGACACAAACATAAAAAATAGAAACCCCTCTTACAATCACTTAAAGCATTTGCTTTCCAGCTAACTGATATCATAAACTAGTAAATGGATCTGACTAACTAATGAATTAACAGTGTAAGAACCAGTCTCTGTAGATGTCTTTAGTCATGTTGTATTGATACAGTATAAATTATAACATTTAGTAAAGGTCAGTTGAACAGCCTGGATTGAGAAGTGTGAATGGAGGGCTTAAATTTTTCCCAACAGATAAACAGCAACGGATAACTGTCTTCAATTCTATTTTAGTATTACATTCTTAATTCTATTTGTATCAACATCAGGCTGTCTGCAAATCACCACTCTATTATAGACAATCAAAATCAATCTTCAGAAAGAGTTGTGTGCCCTTGCCAATTTCCCTGGCCATATGGCAGCCTTTCATGGTCCAGGCAATGTTCAGCTCACGGAAACTAACGAACATTGGTGAAGGTTGAGCCGAGTGGCTTAATTCCAACTGTCATATAGATTGGTGTATTAAATAGATACTGGGTGCTTGCATTGTCTTTTAAGCCACACCCTTTATTAAAGATGGGTTTCCTTATTTTTTAGTGTCAAATTAAGCAAACTATTTGATTAATTGGTGTTTCTAATGAATTATCATGTATTCTTAATCATATCATTATGTTCTTATTGCATATAATTAAGAGTTTTAACCAATCATAAATGTCCATGTATGTACAGTCTGGATAAACAAAAAAAGACTTTTGACCTTTCTTGATCAGCCACTCATTGGAATTCTGCTGATAATTCTCTTCTAATTTAGCTAATTATGAATTAATTATGGACATGTGAGACAAACTGGTATTTGTCAAAGTCATTAGAACACCTCTACTTTTTTATTCATATAAGTATTAGCATTTTCATTTTCATAATGAAAATAAATGAAATGGAATGAAGTCCTATATAATGAAACTAAGGGAACCCATCTTTAATGAATAGATGTATAATGGTGATTCACTTTATCCAAATAGTTTCATATTAGGCTGTCAATTCCAACCAATCCAAATCTTTTTCATATGAGATGGGTAACCAGAGTGTTTATACACACCAGTTTCAAGCAAATTCATTTCAACATGCTGAATGACGAAGCAGTTGGATTGACATGATGGAAAATCCTGCATTATTATAAATATTTATTTCCTCAGTCCCTAATTCAAGGTTTACCTGCTAAAATTAAACACGGTAGTAATATGTAATAGTTTAAACCTGTAGATATTCAATATAAATCTATAATATTGACATCATTAGATATATCAACAGTATTAACAGTCTCGGTGTAAAAAATGAATCATCTTCCATTAATCTCACTGTTTACTAAAGACTACACCTTACAGATTGTTACAGAATATATTTTATAGTTGAGATGTTCACTGTTTCACAATGTCAAGCCATTAAAAACTTAATCTTCACATTGTCAAGCTAGTACAAACTTTGTACTTATACCTTGACTGTAATATTCACCTTTCTAGTATCACAGAAGGTGGCGCTTTGATTGGTTTGTACATCAGTGAATACAGCCAATCAGAGCTCTCGACAGAAAGATTGTAAACGTTATGGCTAATTTGCTTTTAAAAAAATCATGGTTATGATTGACTATTTGGTAGTGTTTAATCCAATCAAATCACGCCATTTACAAAATTCCATGATTAAAGAATAGTGGCTATTGTAGTCAAGGTATAAGATGAAGATTGTAATAGCTTGATATTGTGAAGATGAGGTAATAGCATGAGGCGAGTATAAATGAGCTTGTGTTGTTAACATACAATCATGTCCACAGTGTGATGAGCAAGTGTGTTTAATATATATTCCCGAGAGTGTTTTTACAATAGAAATAAGAAGAAGCCAGTGTGTATTCACAAGTATTCTTCTGTTTCTGCTGTATGGATACTACCACACCATTCCTCATCTACTTATACCTTTATACTGATATACACAGGCAACATGTTTGTGTTGAATATAGAATCCTCATCAGGACAGTGGTTTGTTTAATGGGTAAATAATTCTTACCTGGACTTAGCGGAAAGCAAACAGGCTTATTGCTTTAACTTTTAATCATTCTACTGCATTTTTGTTTGCGTTACACTGCATATATCTACCTTGCTTTTATTAAAACCTGCACATTCAGATAATATTTTCTGACTAGGGGTATACTATTATTTATTTTAATCCCTCAATGGTAGTTTACAAGCACAAGTTATAGATAAATAAGGACAATATTATAGATGGATATTTCTAGATTATTTATTACTTTTAACATTTCAATGTGGTTCTCACACTGTCATCAGGAATATAATGATACTTCTAGAATATTTATTACTTTCAACGTTTTGAGGTGGTTCTTCTGATGATGGTGTGAGAACGACAGTAAAATATTGAAAGTAATAAATATTCTACAAGTATCAGAGTTTGAATACTATCTATAATAATTGTTTTATTTATCTAAAACTGTAATTTTTGAATGAATTTTCATTATTTTTTATTTTTTTGTTTTTTTACAGATTTTTTGTTCATCTGAAATCATGCTTTTCATCATTTTAAGAATTTAACACATTTCACTTGAAGTTTTAATTGGATGGTAGTTTATAGACTTCTCTTTTAAAATTCTTAACAAACTTTTAACTCATGGCCTTTCGAACTAATGATGTTCATTTAATTCAAGATTTGGAAAGCGAGGAACGTCAGCCGTTAACGAACAACAAACCCGAGATGGATACGAGCGTTGATCCAGAGAGGGACAAGACCTCAGAAAATGTGATAAAAGTGAACGATATTAATGAAAACGATGAAACCGTTCCTGATGCCTTTCCTTATATTGATGGAGTTGAGAGTAGTCCGTCGTCACCAAAAAAGGGCCATAACTCTGTATGCCCTAAACCAGAGCTCAAACATCAAGACAGTATCGATGGTCCTGATATACCAGAGGTTTCTGTTTCTAAAAAAGACGATGTTGACGCAGCTAGTGTTTTTTCACTCTTTATGGAAAAAGATTTCCGATATTATTTTCAACATCCGTATTGTCGTATTTTTGTGGCTTATTTTGTGACATTTTGTAATTTTCTGATATATGCGGAGGATCCAGTAGCTCACAGTCTGAAGGAGTGTAATATTCCTGTGATTGGAAATGATTTTGCCTTCGTATGTACTCGCTATCCACCCAATGCCTGGAGTCTGTTGAAAGTCGTGTTGTGGCTCAGTGCCATCATTGTTGGAATATTGGTTGGAAAATTTTTATTCCATAGATTGTTGTTTAGTAAGTATACAGATTTAATCTTTTTTTCATGTTTTTGGATTTTGCTTTTAGCCAAGACTTTATTTTGCAAGACTGTCAAAGCTCCATAGGAAACTATGTATGGTTCTTACATGGAAATAACACACACGAATATAGTTCATGGCCACGGTGTTTCAACTGGTAGAAACATACACGAAATGAGTTCAGAGGGGCCTGAGAGAGACCTGAACGGGCCCACCCTATGGTTTAAGACTTATTAAAGGTTAAATGTATGTTGCTGCTTACCCAACCTCTACAATTCTGTGACCCCCTCTCGACCCCTAATTCTTCATAGAACACCAATTGAATATAAATAAATAAGTTTAAATCATACCCTATATCTATATTTCAGCTCGTTTATTCCGTATCAAGATGTTTCAAGATGATCAAGGATCGTGGATGGTGATGTTTCTGTGTGTTGTTGTTGTAATGTTTATCTTTTCCTTCCTGTACAATGCCTTCTTACTGATCGGGGGAGACAGCACCCTTCCCTACCGTATCTCAGACCTCATGGGCGTCTCCAACTCATTCTTCATGAAAGCAGCCGCCTGTGGAACTTGGTGTGGCGATTTCTTTACTGCTTGGATGGTGAGAATTTTTTTTTAACTTAATATCCTGAAAAAATCTGGCCCTACCAGTTCTCAGACTTGATATTCAGACGAGATATCAGAACTGGGTTTAAGGGTCAGACATATAATGTCCATTTTCATGGGAGTTGCTCCGACACATTTTTTGGGTCACTAGTTTGTGAGAATTTTCACCAAGACAAGAGCCCAATTTGGCATAACTTTTGATATCAATACGAAGCTGGACCATTAAAGAGTCTACCAAGATATTGTTGAATATTCTAGGATGTCCCTGTGCCCCACTGAGTATAACAATACAGTTGAGGGGTAGTTTTAACTTACAGAGTTATACGAATCAGGGAGAAACATTAGTGCGTTTAATATTGTAGGTAACAGATATGATGTTACAAGAGAGATTATACCCCACCTGGGCTCCAGGTTTTAGAAAATGGTGGACGACTGGTTATAGAAGAGTGATAGCTTTCTGGATTATCGTATTACTTATGTCCTTTATTGTGATATTTGTAATTACTACAGATTATATTGAGTGGGATAAACTCAACCGGGGTTTTCTACCAACTAATGAAGTTTCCAGAGCTTTTCTTGCCTCCTTCATCCTCGTGTTTGATATTATTATTGTTATGCAGGTAAGATGAAATGGTTTCCTGAAAATATTCTGATAGTTACTGATAGTTATCTGAAAATATTGTGTGTTATTGCCAATTATGAAGAAATGATACTTGACATATTGTTATAAACTTTTTGATAAGAGATCTGATATACGGTATTGCAATATGAGTCATAGATTAATTGTAACACTTTGCTACAAAGTATCAATGCTGTCAGCTTTAGAATGACTTCAGCTGATACCAGTCAACTGTTGGCACTCTGCAACAAATCACGGTGTTTAATGGCTGCCTTTGTTGGCTGGTATGTAGCTCAGGTTATCAGGTAGTTCGCTCCATTTCATAAGTTTTTCCATTCTTATATAGGGTCATCTTCACAATATCAGGCTTTGTCTAATACCTTGACTATTGCAAAGTGCAACATTGATTTCTGGTGAAATCTATTTAGAATTTCCTTTAATTAATTCTATTTTTAGGATTGGGATTTCCCCCATTTTATCAGTGTACTAGATATAAAGTTACCTGGTTTAGATACAGCTCATATCAAGTTCCAGGTTCCTATTCCAGACTTTCTGAAAAAAGAAATCTTAGTTCATATTACAGGTAAGATGTTTAGACTTGTAACAGTACTTCAAGGTAGTGATCAGTATGTAGGTACTAGAGTGTAAATGTCATCTTTAATGTCACACCATCTCAAAAAAATATTGAGTCCTCTGATCAGGACCCCCCTCCCCCCTCCCCAGTACCCATCAAGACTTGATATTATTGGTAGAAAATATCCCTAATTGTAAACCTAAGTTGTTATCCTTGTAAAATCAATACCAAGAGGTTTGACCAAGGACCAGCTGGTAGAAAGGATCCTTAACTGTGAACCTGAGTTGTTATCCTTGTAAAATCAATACCAAGAGGTTTGACCAAGGACCAGCTGCTAGAAAGGATCCTTAACTGTGAACCTAAGTTGTTATCCTTGTAAAATATAATTCTTTATTTCTTTTTTGAACAATAAACCTAAACACCCTGGGTTCTATAAAAAGGTTGTTATATTTTTTAATATATTTTGTAGGTAAATGGTTTAACTATGGTATACT